AAAAAAACATAATATTACTTACATAGTGCTATTTCAGTTCTGATTCTCCTCTGAAACTGGCGGATAGAAATGCTTCCAATACTTTTGACTCTCCTACAAGATGAACCTAAAACAGGTACCTAAATAAATACTTTAAAAAGTACTAATCTATATCAAAATTAATATTTTTAATTTTATCTTTATCACATATGCCTAGTGGTGTTATGTCAGGTTTTAATAGAGGGGGCAAAAGTTTTGACCAACCCAATGGTTAGCGGGTAGGTAACTTAAAAAACAACCACTCGCAAAAACATATTAATATATTATGTTACTTTTCCTTCATAGAACACATACATACCTTCATACTAATTTTCAGGCGCGTCCACTCATGCATCCAAATATAATTATATTCCTTCCAACTATTAATTAACAATTTATCATTGTGACAATAAATGCTAATTACCTACACAAAATAATATTTTCCTATAAATATAGACATGGGCTGCTATTAAAATAAGAGCGGAGCAAATGCCCACCTTGCCTCCCCTTTAAATGACACCATTGAATATGCCCTTTAAATCCTCCCTCGTTATCATGGTCTGGATCCACCCCTTACCTAAATAATAATCACACTTATCAAGGATAAATTATACTGCGCATGTATTTATTAAAAATAAATACATATTTTAAGGTAATAATAAAAAGTGAAATAACTAGTTGTTTTTTAATATTATTATAATAATTATAATAACAATGTAAATGACTGTATACAACTTTTTTTTATTTATAAGTATCTTGAATGGCATTCTTTATTTATTTTCTCTATCATATCTTGTTTTAGAAGTTCTGAACCAACTTTGGACATCTAACTCAAATTGTGCATCTGAATTTTGAGGAAACTTATTTTTGATAACACCTGATATAAAATATATTAACATTGTTTAAATTCTGTATTTTATGTAAGCATACAAATACCTAACTCACTTCTCATAACTTCAATAATTTGTAAATCTTGAACTTTGTATTTTTTTGTATCTTTTTCAAATGCTCTTCCTGTCCATGAGCATTCGATAGCAAATTTATTTGTAAATATTTTGTTCAAAATGCGTCTAATACTGTTTTTTGCATCTACACCACCAACTACACTTAGCATATGTTTCTGCAAAACAGAAGTTGCTCCAAATTTATTTAAATTTATATGCTTATAAAATAATAATTAATAGAGTCAACATACAAATTTGTCTTTCACAACATTATTTGCTTGCAGCACCCTTTCACAAGCCAAAATATTTTCCCAGTTGGAAAATGGAAGTTGGTCTAAGAATTGTTTATCTTCCATATCATTTGAAAAAGCTAATCCTATAGGTACCACATGTCGGGTCAGTTTTGCGACATCATTTTTCAAACTACTCATTTGGCTTAATATGCGTTCATTTGTTAAACGAGTGGTTATCATTTCAGTTTGAATGTTCTTTAAAACACAACGAATTTCTTCTAATATAAAATATAATGAAAATTTAAGTAATTAATAAAATACATAATACTAAATTGTCTAAATTTATATTGAACTCAAAAATAAAAATAAAAATATTTGTACCCAACAATCAATTTTAGTTCTAATATAGATTAGAAATTAGAAGGGAATTAATATTAATGTAAGTATAAACTATGAACTACCTAGGTATCTACTAACTACCTAAGTATTTATTAACTACAAATATCTAGTAACTAGTAGCATGGCAATATAAATATTGTAATTTAAGAATTTAGACATTTTATCCTACCTTCAGATGAACTTGGCTTAGACAAATGGCTTAAATCACCATCAGTTTTTGAGGTTGACAAATTTTGTTGTTGATCAAAATTTAAATGTTGCAAATGTGAATAATCGTTATCACTAGCAGAAATAAATATCTGCGAATTGGAAAAATGTTGATTGTGATCTTCAATGTAAGGTACCTATTCACAAATTAGACAACTTTAAAATAAATTATATTATGGTGAATTTATTAATGGCAATAAGTTAATTACCTGTAAGTCTGAAAAAGATGATATTAGAATGTTTGATGTTTCTTTTACTGTGTTAATATTTAAATTATTTTCATCAGCATTTGTACTTGTTAGAGAATTAGACGGTTGCAGATTAATGTATGATTTTTCTTGTTCTTGATTCGCTATAGCAGGCGCAATATTATAACCATTATCTATCAAAGAAAATTAAATCAGGTACATGCAATTCTTTAAAAAAAAAAAAAAAAAATAATAGTGCTTAGGTAGAGAATGGTACATCCAAAATCAAATTTAGTACTTATAATATTCTAAAAATAAAATATCCTCAACTATTAAAAAAACTGAGTTTGAACATTAGAAAGTAAAATATACAACATATTATTTTAAAATAATTTTATGTGTAATTTAGGAATGGTATGAAAGGAATTTCTAAAAAAAAAATGTTGTTTTATTTGTGATACCTAGTTATAAAGTCCCTTGTCTATCAGTTTTTATTAATTATATCGGAAATCTACCAATATTAAGTGAAAACAAATATATTCAAGAAGCAAATTTGGAAGCTGATATAAGTGATAACAATAAATGCATTTTTTACAAATAAGTAGGTACTTGGTAATTATTAATTATTATTTTAAATTAATTTAATTTAAACAATGTTTACCTTCAACGTATGAATCATCACTACTTGAAGTAGCATGATATTGTTTTCGTTTCTTATTAGAAATTTGCTCATCATCTGTCGATTCTAGTACATGCTTGTGCCAAGCTTTAGCAAATTGTCCTAAAGGAGAACAATTGTATAAATCAAACTATTATTTATATACACTTATGTACAAATCAGGTTTGTCAAACGTTTAAAAGTTCTGAATTCATGACTTACACAACTTGTTTAAATTTATTTAATTCTAAATACTTGAAAATGTTATCTTTAACAAAGGACACACTTTGCTGGAAGTGGGTAATATGTCCTGCACTTGAACATTATTTCAAGACACCCATTTACGTGGTTTAAAAATTGGATTAGTGCTCTTATATTAAAAAATATTAATTATATAAATTGAAAATACAATTATATAAAATTATTTATATTACTAAAAAACTATAATAATAGATAAAACAATGATGCCAAAAGTAGGGAATTTTAGTGTTATGAATACATAAAAACTAGTTTCGACTGTTGGTCATCATCAAGTTACATCATCAAGTCATCATAAGTACTTACAAAGTTACAACTGAATAATATTATTCAAAACCTTTAATATAATTATGAGTTAAGTATTAACTATAAAGTAATTTAAAAAAAAAATGAATAAGATTTCAGTTCTGGAACACTATATATAAGAATATTTTTTAATTAAATGGAATAATAGTTGGTTTATAAAGAAGTATTTTGTCACTGTACCTACCTACTGAAAAATAGAGTTTTTCACATGATATTTTCTTCATTTTTCAAGATTTAAAAGAGAAGATTGAATTAATAGAACTAAGTAGGTAGGTAATGTCTTATTTAACTATCAAAAAATGATATAACATTATCTAATAAAAAGTTAAAATTATTTAAATATAATCTGTGTACATTACCATAAGTTTTGTTACCATCAAGTACTTTAATTTTGTATAGTGACCATGAATCATCTGGGTCCTCAGCTAACTTTAAGTCGTCACTAGTCACTCTTTTTTGTGGCCATTTACAATATTTCACAGAACAGCTAGACAAATTGTCTGTATCTGTTTGATCAACCAATTTGTTGGGATTACACTATAGTCTTTGCCTTCAGTGAACTTGACAACGACCCATTTTATACTATTACGACCCTGCAATGCCATATTTACAAACATTAATATTAAACATATCTGAGTATAAATATATGTTAAATACTTGTAAAATTGATCATTTCACAATAATTATCGTTAATATTTTTACTTATTGTACCAGGTCGTACATAGCCATACATAGCATACACTTTAGGTACCTACATTACTGAAATTGAAATACTTTATTCTTACCTTTTTAATGAAGTTCGCCATGACGAGTAGGTGAGGTAAGTAATAGTACCTACTACATATACACAATACACTGCAGGTTTGACGTAAATCGTATTAAACTATTAAAACACACTATCAACACACACTATTAAAACACACGGAAACTTCAAAGTACACGACTCGATGTCTCGAATCTCGATTGACAACCAGACAAGAATTTAATTTTATAACCTCACTTAAGTCATCATGACGGGCATTCCGATTACTGGTTTTTCGCGGTTTAAAATGGATAACAAGTAACAACAACAATATTTATAGTTAAAAATATATATATTAATAGATGAGATGTATTTTCCAAACATTCACGTAATAGTTAGTTAACATAACAAGGTTATGTAATTCTTTATACACAAAATGTTTATAACTGGAACGTTCTTTTTCAATATTAAAATCTAATATGCTTATGAACTATTCTTGTAACAGTCAAGGAATATTCCATTGCAATGTTTGTATTAAGACTTAAATTGTATATCAGTGGAATGTTTGTAACATTCCTTTGCACGGTGGGTTAGTAATAGGGTCCCGTTTTACCGTCGGAACCCTAAAAATAGAAACTAAAAATCCAACTAACAAAATCAAGTCAATATAATAACTAAACAATATAATTAATAAAAAGTAATATTAAGACTTACGGTTATTTCAAGAAGAGTTGAAAACCATATAAACAAACAAACAAATTACTAAACAATGAATGAACAATGAAAAATAGGTAGATAGGTATATGCTGAAAACGGTTCGAATTTAATATGTGTCAATTATATACTATATAATTCTTAGGTACTACTTATGTATTATGACTTACCTAAGTACCTATTGTGTTTAGTGTGATGAGAATTGTATGAACTGTTAAAAATTATTACATATAGGTAAGTAAAATCTTATTGTTTTATTTTATAAAATATTGATTTCAATTGCAATTGGAATAAATTAATTTAATAACACTACTATACATAATCTTATTGAACTTAGTGATGTTTGTTATACAGTCCACGAATCCATCGAATGTGATATTTAACTTCTGTAAAAACAGACAATGAGTTATTTGTGTTTGGATCCTTTACACTCACTACTCCGGTTAAATAATAAGAATTAGAGTGTAAAAAACACAAGCCTGCACCGCTATCTCCTTTACTCGCTCCTTGTCCTGAAACTAAAGATATTATTTTATTTATAACACTTAAATTAATCATATGACAGTTATTCGGTAGTAGGTACGACATTAATTAAATATAATGTACAAGTGCTATAGTACAAGGGGTTGTTAGTGGAATTTGTTATGAAGGTAGCTGTACAATGAATTTCAAACCATAATTATAAATATTTATTATTAATTAGCTAATTGCAAAATAAAATTATGCAGAAAATTATCAAACTTTCAATGAATCAATCATCAACGACTTCCAAAAAAATGTTATACTGATGTCATATTGGTACCTACTGTAGTATACCATAGATTTACATTAGATACATATACATATAACCATTTACATAGGCATTATAATATAATGAATATTTAACATAAGGCATAATATAATGATATACGAGTAAGTATATAATGTAGTTTATTTTAGGCACTTATTTGATATAATTCACTTCCATAGGGAGGATCCGAGAATCAAATTTTAATGTGGTGACAACATATTTTTATTGTTAGAACTGCAAACGACTATCAATGGACTTATGGACGATAAGTGTGGTATTTTAATATTTTAATAAGTAACAACATTATGTTTTAATTTGATAAAAGTGTTTCCTACCATTACATCATACTTCGTGTTATAATTTATTTTCATGCAAACGTTTAACGTTTAAAAATTAAAGTTTAAGTTGTATAAGGTTAGGTATTAGGTCAATGACAATAACTTTTCTTAAACATTTTAGTAATAACCTTACATGAGTCGATGAGGTCCACAAGGAATGGAATGAAAACGATAATATTATGCCGTCGTGCACTCGTATACTTCAACATAATTAAACAGTGCCAGCCAAATTACATTTGGATATTATGTATCATTATACTTTGTACGAAAGTTAAGTGTATGAAAGTACGAAGCTGTCAATGCGTTATAGTTATAGCGTGTGTCAATTAAAACAGTTAATAGATACGACAAAGTGGCACCAACGTATACTATCAATACGAATATAGTTTGTTTGAATGATTTGTAGAAATATATTTTGTGTTATTATAGTATTGTACCAATTGTAAAATGTGATTCATTATATTTCATATAAATTAAGTTTTTCTTCGTTTTCAAAACTGTCCACCTTCGTCCTCCAATATTTAGTGTTTTAAAAAAATTTAGTTAAGTTGGTTAAACAAATCAATGAGTTCATGGTAGGTAGGCATTAATATTAATGATTAAATATTTCATTACCCAATGCAGAACCGGCACAAAATTTATCAACTGTCACAAATGATTCAAATCCGTTTGTATACATATTCCGGCAAGAACTATGGTCGATGTATGGTAAAGATGCTTCTAATAAAATAGTACTTGAAATGCCCTTTTCAGTTTTTCCCCAACCAACCATCTGTAAAAGTATAATATGTTGTATAATAAACAATGAAAATTAACATATCATATTAATCTCCTTTTATGTAAGGGGTTAGAAATGTGTATAGTACTATAAAGTTAAATAAATAAATTCTGACTGATCAAAGTTTTTTAATTTTGGAATTCGATCAAATATGAAATTAGAATAGTGTTTAGTGGTTTTTCAATTTGTATTTCAAAAATGTATACTAGATTCTCAGAGGAGCGAAGAGTGAATTGATTTTACTATGATGTGTGTGTTTTTGTTTTCACTGTTTGTAAGCAATTTTTCATGTGTAAAGAATGCTTCGATTTTCTGATCCAGCATTTTTTCTGATGGAAAAGTTGTCTAGCTGGTAGGTACGTTAGACAAGTAAATTTGGAAAATTAACAATAGTTTTCAAAATAGATGGTTAAAACAAAGTTAAGGAAAAACTGTTATCTAGCATTTATCATCTAAACTTAATATGAGACCAAGTTATATTTTGTCCGTTGAGCTATACAGTAATGTAGTTTTTGGATGTACGTAGAGTGAAAAGAACTGTTGAGATTTTCGATGGGTTAAGGACAATTTTCCAACTTTGCTCACATTTTTTAATTCCATCGAGATGAATTTAGATGTTTACTGTTACCTTTTCTATTTTATTAGTAGTAGAATATTTGACACTATCGTCCGCGTACAGAGCTATTTCTGTGTTCGTTGCTGTGAGGAAGTCGGATATGTATAAATTGAAGAGTATTGGGAATATTATAGAACTTCATAGACTATGGTACACCTGCATCAATTTGTTTGATATCCGAGTTAGTGCAATCTATTTGGAAGGTGAAACTGCGCGAATAAAGAAAATATCTAATGATGTTGAAGACAACTGTAGGTGTGTTAAGCCTTAAGACATTTTAATTAGTAAAGCAGTCCGTCCTGCCAGACCTTATCGAAAGCCTTAGATATATCTAGAAAGGCTGCTCCACAATGTGCTCATTTTTCTCGAACTCATTGCTTATATACTCTGTAATTCAAAGAAGTTTTTGAGTTGTCGAATGATTTGGTTTAAAACCAAATTGACAGTGAAGTATTGCCCCTGTTGCGTTTAAATGGCTAACAAGTAGTGGATAAGTAACATTAAGTAACTCCGCACTTGGTAGTTCATCATCTCTCTTAGAAATTGGGCTGTCAAAATATGTTTGCAGTTTAGATTCTCGAGTAATGGACCAGAAAGATTATCTGATGCCCTGGGTCCATTCCTATTATGATATTTAAACCTCGAATATATAGGTAAGCGAACATAAAATACGATAGAGTAAAATACATAAATACATGGTATTAGTGAACAAATAATTATAAAATTATAAAGACACACATACATCACGTAAATGCAGTTTGCAAATAACACGAATATAAAACTACTAATCAATATTATAATTCAAAGCACTCCCAATATTTATTGTAATCTAAGTCATAAAATACTAGCAACTTACATCGACCCACACGAATCAGAGATGTGTCCATTCCAACAAGGATCAACGAGTACTGTTTACAACCATACGATGTAAGTGAACACACGTATATTTTACAATAGAAGACAAACATTCAAATCCGTATTTAACTAACAATATTCAGTAGTATAATACAAATTACGTAAACATTACAGGTCCATTACAGGTCAACCTGTGGTATCCACTTGTCCACCATTTTTAGTTATGTATTGTAACATGCCAAAAATGAAAAATGATCTTTACATACGGATCGACAAGTGTCGATGGTGATAAGTACAGTAATTAATAGTTATATTATATAATATATAGATGAACATTTACAAAGTGACGGTCAAATTTTGTATTGTGCTGCATGTGAAAAATCGATAGCAATTGAACAACGATTTCAGGTAACACAACATTTACAAACTAATAAGCACTAGAGAACAAAAATTGAAAGTTGAAATTCAAACAAAATTTTTTGTCATCTACGTCTTCCTCAATTTCTAATACATTCAACATCGATTTATGTCAAGCTTTTATTATATTCCGCTAGCAAAACTTCAAAATTCTAATTTAAAATCATTCTTGGAAAAATATACTGCACAATCGATTCCCGATGAAAGCACTTTAAGAAAAAATTATATTCAATCAATTTACAAAGAAACTCTTGTGTCTATTAGAAATACAATTGGTGATGGACCTATATGGGCATCAATCGATGAAACAACCTATGTAGATGGTAGATTTATTGAGAATATTATTATTGGAAAATTGAATGACAGTAAATCTCAGCCTTTTTTGTTAAACTTTGAACAATTAGATAAATGCAACCACCAAACTGTTGCAAGATTTTTTAATAATTCTATGAGTATATTATGGCCCGATATAGTTATGCACGAGAATGTATTATTTTTTTTTTTTATTGATCATCCCGCGGCAACATAGGTCATTGGGAGGGGGGTGGTACTGTAGGTTTTGGAACGGTAGGTGTGTTACACGTGGGTGTATTTTTTTGGCAGAATTTCGAATGGGGCACCCGTAGGTTTCTGCCATGCCCCGGAGTGGGGGATGGTGGCACTTGTTCTCCGGACACCGTGACTTGCCCGGAGAAAAATGCCGCCCGGTGGTCGAGAATCGAAACCGCAACCGGCAGCGCCGCAGCCAACGCGTTAGACCGCTCGGCCACCTCGTCCCCCACTAGAATGTATTATTAATTGTATCTGATGCCGCGCCATACATGGTAAAAGCCGGTAAAGCATTAAATGCTTTTTTCCCAAAAATGATCCACTTAACGTGTTTAGCACACGCATTTCACCGAATAGCAGAAACTATAAGATCAACATTTACAAAAGTTGACGAGTTAATATCTTCAGTCAAAAAGATATTTCTAAAAGCTCCTAGCAGTGTCGAAATATTTAAAAATATGTACCCAGATCTAAGCCTTCCTCCACAACCAATTGTAACTAGATGGGGCACTTGGTTGAATGCCGCTAGTTATTATTGCCAAAACTTCCAAGAAGTCAAAAATGTTGTTGCCGAACTCGATGCTACTACTTCAATGTAAATTGAAAAAGCTGAAATTCTTTTAGAAAATAATGATTTAAAAAATGAATTAATAAACATTTCTGTTAATTATTATTTTTTGGTTGATGTCATTACGAAATTAGAAACTCGAGTGTTAACTTAAAGAAAGTTTAAATGTAGTAGAGGAAGCGGTAAAAAGACTAGAAAAAGTTCAAAGACCAATTGGCGATATTGTAAACGCTAAAGTTAAAAATGTACTACAAAAAAATTCCTGTCTAGCAGAAATGAAAGTTATTAAAAGTATTCTGACTGGTATTTCGTCTGAAGCTTCGTTGGTTGTAGAACTTTCTCCTTCAGACATAGTCAACATGCAAAATTGTCCTATAACATCAATCGAAGTTGAGAGATCTTTCAGTCGATATAAATCAATTTTACGACATAATCGACGATCTTCTGAATTCGAATATTTAAAAATGCATGTCATTATTAATTGTAACCAAAATAATTAGATAGTTAGATAAATATTTTTTTTTATTACATTTCATTCTATTATTAATTATTATTATTATTATTATTATTTTGATAATACATAATATTATACATTTTTAGCACATATTTATGTACATATTTTTGTTGTATAAATACATATTTTGGTTTTTTTAATACATATAAATCCGAGCCCTAGTTATACATATATCACAATATTATTATTTAAATAATGCTACAAACCGACCTTTCCTAGATCTCCACTGCTAACATTGTATTTACTATCCCAATCGATACAAACAGGTGCAACACCATTACTAAATGAAACTCTGTTTTGTAACACAATAATAGCGATATCTTCAGCATGAAACCCAGCAGGTCCATAGTAACCATCTTTCAGGTAAATAATTTCTACCTATACAATTTTTTTTAAATTATATAATTCATATCTTACAAATTATTTTAAGACTTTGAGTTTGAATGATTAATAACGTACATTAATTATTTGAGTAAAATCATTGTCAATTACTGAAAAATCTCTAGAATATTTACCAACAGCAATTTTGTATAGACCGTCGGTTATTGATATTCTCTTAGATAACATACCTTTTTGCCAAAAACAATGGGCAGCTAAAAATGTTTTTAATTAATTAATCATTTATTAAATACGTTTTAAAAATATTTTACCAGAGACGACTAAATTTGGAGCAATAATTGATCCTCCACAAATCAAGTTATGATTGGAATTTGTTTTATTTAATTTGTATATTCCAACATTCCAAGGGGCCGTTCCAACAAGTGCTTCTTCACCATTGTTAATCAATACTTGGTTTATAACATATACTCTACCGCAATCTAAAATAATATTTGAAAAAATATATAAGTACATGATTACAATTAATAAGTAATAAAGCCGTAATAACAAACGGTGTAAGAATGTAAATCAAACGATTATGCACAACCAATGTCTATTATTTGTTCTTCCCTAATGTTATCATTTATAATGCATACCAGAGGCGTATTTAAGTGGGGCAGACTGCCCTTCCGTCATATGGCTTAGCATCCAGGTTAAGAAATTGGGCACCTTTTAAATATTTTTTTCGTAAAATTTGGAGAAACACAATTCTCCCCCCCACCAAAAAAAAAAAAAGCATAATAAGTAGGGTTCGGATTTGAAGGAAATATAATCAATAAAAAAAGCATTTAAAATGTAAAAAAAGGCATTTAATTTATATAAAAAGGCAATTCATAAATATACTACAAAATAAAATAGTGAACATTTTTTAAACACTTTTAAATGCACACATTATAAGAAAAATACAAATTAAAAATGAGCATGAATACTAAACTACATTAAGTTTATGCTATTTAGTATTTTGTATAAATAGATTAGGTACCTTTTTCTTTAACCAGGTTTGTCCTAAGAATTAGTTAAAAACAATTTTAAATATTAACTTACTTGAGTTATACCAGTTAATTTAATGCAAAATAAACTAGTTGGTATTAAAAAAAAATTTGACTACCATGTATTTTGATAAGCTGTCTTCAGAAAAACGGCTACGGTTAGGGGTTAAAATATTTTTGTACATCGAAAACGATCATTCTACGTCCACCGAAGTTATCGGGGTGATTTTTTATTTATAAAATTAAACACAACATTAAGTACAAAAGGTAAAAAAGGCAAAAAGGCATTTATAAGTAAAAAGGCAAAAAAAGGCAAAAAAAAAGAAGATCCATCCTCTAAGAAATTAAATGAAACACATTTTTGTATAAAAATTATTTTTCTATTATAATTAATAAAAGAAAGGCATTTGCCTTCAAATCCGAACCCTAATAATAAGCATTTGGATGCAGTTTAAGTTAAATAAATTAGTAAAATATATATAAATTAGAGACTTATGTGTTTATATGATAAAAAATAAAATTACAAGGATTGCAACTATATAGTTGTTTATTCCACGTTCCATTAGATTGACAAAGTAATTCAAGTGGAGTATCATCTTGTCCATTTGGTGTAATGTATGTTGGCTTACATGATGGTATTGCTATTGTATTGGGTATCGATAAATTTGAACAATTAGCATACTTACCATTATGACTACATTTAATATCTAAACTATTTGATTTTAGAGGTGGGCACATTTCTATAAAAGTAAATAAATTACAATCAATCATAACAACACTTTGAACTTAAAATATAGAAATAAATAAGTAATTTTTAAAACATTTGAATTACAACACAATACTTACTGAAACACAATTTATCAAACTTGGATAACCATTTTCCTTTTCCCAAACAAAACCTAGAACTATTTGTGTACATTTTATGATATCCATCTTCACAATTTTCAATAATAGTAAGATTATGATTAACTAATGTCCCGTGAGATAAAATTTCATTAGACCCTTCATAAGTATACACAACTCCTTCGAAGGTCGGTAAAACGCACGAACTCCCTGCGAACTGTAAAATCCTTAAATGTTAAATATATATATTCCTTCTAAAATATCTTAGATTTAACGTCATTAAAAACCAAGCCAATATAATATGTAAAAAATTAAAATGAATATCTATAAAATATCTATTTACTTACATGTTTGTTTAATACTCTACGAATCCATTGAACATGATATTTAATACTTGTATAACCTAAGCCTGAATTTTTTGTTTTTAAATTCTTGTAACTCAGTATCCCAGTTAAATAATAAGAATTTAAGTGTAAAAAGCTTATGGGTGATCCGTCATTTACAGAACTTCTTGTTAATTCTGAAACAAGAGTATTTTATACCAAAGACACAACTTACATATTTCTACCGTTAGTTAATTGGTGCATAGGTGGAAATCCGTTAAATTTTCCTGATAGAGAAGGGTAACATTTGTTATTTATTTTTATTCATTTATATATTAGCATAATTTGGATTTTGAAACAATAGTGTTTAAGAAATAACAAAATGCACAATTTTATAATAAAGTAAACATTTAAACTTAATATCCATAAAAGGAAAAGGGGACCTTGGTACGAGTGATTATTGATTATTATTAGTTAACGATATGGGCACATTCATCGCAAAGTTGAAACGACTCACTGGTAAATAAAAGGGACCTGAAGCCTATAGTGTCACCTGGAAAACGAAAACAAAGTCGCTCTAAAAGGAGTGAGGACACAATCTGATCTAAAATTATTCTCTGGTAAAATAAATACAAAATATCAGTGATCATGATGTTAGATGGGCAATATTTATGTGGACCATAGAGTAACCAGTCCAAACTTTTTTTTAAAACCAATGTGAGCCCGGTGGGAAGGGAATTGATCCCACATAAAGCTGTATAAAAAGCTGTCTGCCCTACCCCTCGATTTACCAGCAATAAGGGGGTGCAATTCAGATTTATATTATTAATTGCAGATAATATACAATAACCTCATGATAGGGATATATATGTGGCTATGTTATATTCATAGAGAATCTACTGCTTAAGTACCATGACAGAGTTGGTTTATAAGTTTGAAAGTATAAATATTAAGTGTTGAAATTTGCCAATATGGGTTGCACACATATTAATTATCTACTGACCACACCCTATAATAACATTTGTTATAAAAGTAACTGTTAGCTACGCTTATATAAATCTATTATTTATTTATTTAGTGGTTTCTCGCCGTCAACACAGTAAATTTCATCCAGGATCATCGGTTAGTTACCTCATTGTGAATATAAATTATATATTTTACTATCGGCAAATCTTGAATTAATCAAAAAAACATTAATATTGAATACTCAACCCTCTTGTGTTACAAGGTACTAAATATACAGTTCAGCGAATAGGTATCTATTTTGTTGTAATTTTATGTTACACTACCCCATATAACAATAATATTATTTATTATTATTGAGCATTTCGTATATTTATTGTTTGTATGTTAATTTCCGTTTGTTATTACATGTTTCACTTTTGAGAAGAAAACTAAATTAGAACCAAATATATTTTATTATATTGGACGAATTTTTCTACAGTACGAATTTTTTTGTTGTTTCCCACGATAGGTACTTTGTAATATGGAAGTTTCTGTGTACTCGATAAGTAGAAATATTCCTTTATTTTAATACTCAGCATCTTTTATGATAAAAAAGGAGTCTAGTCGGTTCATTGGAGAGGTCAAAATTGAATTTTTCCAGTAGTTTTCAAAATAACAGGGAAAAACCTATAAAAAAAATAAAGGAAAACGTTAATTTTGAAGTAAAATGATATTTTTTTTGGTGTAACTCAACAGAATAACCGAAATACATGCAATTTTCCCCGATTATTTATATAACCTTTTTCTATACAATACAAAATTTCCAAAATTTTTTTACTATTTCTGAGCATACAAATATTCAATTTTTATTAGTTTTTTTTTTAAAATTATTGTCGATAAAAAACTTTTGATACGGTAAAAATACTTGAAAATGTAATGCAAAGTTCTATATAAGTTTTTTTAGAGAAAATCAAAAAAAAAGTTAAGTGGAATTTCATAATATTCATAATATTTCTGAGCTTCTGTAATAATTCGTCAAAATCATGAAAAATTGCAAATTATTTTAAGTTTTCCAAATAAAACTTCTTTTTGAGAAATTCATACACATTTTCTTTTTATGTCCAAGATTTTAAAATGAATACAAGATTGCTACATTTAACACACACACACACAAAAATAAGAATCGTTTTAAAATCAATATATTCGTTTCTCCACTCAATATCTACATTAATAATTATATTACCCAATCGAGAACCTGCACAAAACCTATCAGGATTCAAAATATATTTTTCAAATCCTTTTAGATACAAATTTCGACAAGTACTACAGTCGATGCATGGTAATGATAGCAAGTGGATTACGAAAATATGTAATACATTTAAATTCAATAAAAAAATATTAAAAATATATCATTGTATAATATGTAAAACTATTCTGAGGAGAAATTATTGTATGTGTGTGCACTCCTATAGGTTATTTAATATTATATTAATATTATTATAAAAATTAAAAGGTACCCAGATAGAATTTAATTTTTCAAATTGCATACCTATTATCCTAATATTATTGGGTTCTTTTTTATCTGAATGAAATATAAAATACTTATTATTGGATTGCATTTAGAAATTTAGAAATTTTGGAAATATCTATGGGTAATTATTTTATTTTTTTAAATATAATTCGATATTATTAAGTCAAAGAGAAACGTATGAGTTACGAGTAAACTTGTATTATATTTTGGAACTTTTTGACACATCGAATATATTTTTTTCGACATTCATATAGTAATAAAATTAAAAATTAAAAAGTACTTTCATATACAATATAAAAATTATCATATACAGAAATTGCAAATCTAAACATTTGGTGAAAATTTAATGTATCTAGGCTTATTCATTTTTCTAGATAATAATAACGTCTAAAGATTAAAACGCGTGTATTCAGTGTTGAGTTTATCTAGATAAATAGAAGGTATTAATTTACACAGTAATTTAAGATAAAAATCACCGTTATGTAGATGAATTTTTCCAGATAATTTAATTTATTAAACGGCTTTTATTTATTATAGAATGTAGGTAGACCATTAAGTAATTTATTAAGTAGGTAGTATTTACTAATAACCATCGACATTTTCGATAACATACTATTAAGTTATTATATATGGCTACGAGCTTACGGAGAGTGCCATAAAAAAATATAAAAAATTGTATCCGATAATTTATCTTGATAAAATAATTTTTCTTTCATCTTTATCTAGATAAATAAATAATTTAGTTATCTTTATCTTTATCTAGATAACATTATATTTATCTCGGCTCAACACTGTGTGTAATATTACTACATTTTTTTTCAGTTATTAAGAAAAGTACTAATATATTTTACTGATGACCTTCAAAGTACCAACTAGATCCAATGTATTAAAAATCTATATCAAAGCTAAAAATCTAAGAATTTTTACTGCAGCAAATGTGGAAACTAATAAACACAAAAAAAAAACCAAGAATCACTGTAAAATCAATACTTTTATCGCCACAATCAAAATTTAAATTTGTATTACCCAATTCAAATTCAGTATCAACACAAAACTTATCAAAAGTCACAAATCGTTGAAATTCGTCTGTATAGAATTTTCGACAAGTCTTATAGTCGAAATAACGAAAAACAGTTAAAATTATTTTTTCTGTGCCATCGTGCTTGCCGTGAACAATAACCTTTAAAAGTATGAAAAAGTGTTATAACATAATATAATTATAACAAAGTTATAATATTAATATCTTATGTTGGCGTCTGAAATTAATTAAATTGTTTTTTTAAATAAAGTTTGACTAATCAAATTTTTTATATTGGAGATGGATCGATTATGAAATAAGAATAGTATACGAGGTAAATGGGACGTACAGAGAGTCAATGTAGCCCATTTTTTTCATATTAAAAAGGGAAAATTGTTAATATTGCAGAGCTTATTCTGAAAGGCATTTAAAGTTGGTTTTTTGAACTTTTACCTACGTTCCTCAGAGCAAAATTGTGACGTCAGTTAACTTAAAGGGACTATAATATTTCCACAACTTTATCATTTTGACCAAAATTGACTGTATTCACATGTGTGGATAACTAAACCATAACTACCAACCACTTTTTAGAAATTAAACCAGACAAGCAATTTCAAATTATTTTTTATGACAGTTTTTTTAAAACTACATAGGTACTATAATACAATACAACATATTTATTATTTACCTTTCCTTTATCTTTATTCTTTACTTTATATATACTATTCCAATCGATACAAAAAGGTTCAAGATCATTAGTAAACGGAACTCTGTTCTTTAACACAATAACAGCAATATCATTAGCATATAACCCTTCCAATCCATTAAAACCTTCATTTAGGTAAATCATTTCTACCTGTACAATTATTTTAGATTATATTATACATATCATACAAATTATTTGTACACTTTGAATTATTAATAACTTACATCCATTAATCGATCAGAGTCATTATCATTTTTAATTCGACTCATTTCTGTATTATATTTCATAATATAAATTATGTATAGATCAACGTTTATTGATATTTGCTTAGACAACATTCCTTTTTTCCAAAAACAACTTGCCGCTAAATAGTTATTGAATTTATTACTATTTATTATTCCTTCTTAAATGCATTGTACAAGGATTTTACCAGAAATTACTACATTTGGAGCAATAATTGATCCTCCACATATCACGGCATTGGTATCGGTACGATTGTAGAAACCTAAATCATTTCGTTCTAATATCCGAACCATCCAAAAATTATTTCCGAAAAGAAGTTTTTCCCCATCCTTGTCGATCAACTCATCGTCACTGAAAGGCGCTCTGCCGCAATCTAAATCAATATTAGGTACATTAGATGTAATATTGGGTGCTCAGCTATATTAATATTGATAAGCGTAACTCTGGAATCTATTAATTATGACATAAAGTGTAAATAATATTAAATGCAGTATAGCTATTATTTTGTACTTGTGGTCATATTTGGTCCATACTCATATCGAACACACAACTCTTTGGTCTCGTCTGAACCATCTGAACAATCCTTACGACCATCACAAACCCATGACCATTCGATACACAGTCCATTTGAACAATAAAACTTATCCTCAGTATTTCTATAATTTTATTCAAATGTGTTACAAATTATTATTTAATACACTTAATATAAAATACAGCAAATATTTATATTTTTTTTTTTATATTATTAATATTTTTTATTTTCTCATTTGTCAATGTACAATCTGTAAGCTATTTAACATAAAAAATATTTGCTATAATAAAATAATTTACATGAGTTACTTGATAAAACGAGTAACCTAGTGGCTACATTTTATTCAAGCAGATATAAACAAAATATTTAATAAAAGAATTCTTTAAATTTGTATAGAACTAAAAAGATTAATATAAAATAGATTCAACAAGTTAATATTTACGAATTCTGTTACAAAGTTTATGAATAAATGTTATATGGCATGTCGGAATCCATTGCCATATGACCATATGAGTAGTTTAAAAGTAAAAGTTTAACAATAAAAAAATAAAACCGGCCAAGTGCGAGTCCGACTCGCGCACGAAGGGTTCCGTATACCATCATCAGCTATGTTGGCAATACTGCTTATATTATATATTCTAGGATTTTTATTATTGGGGAGAAGTAATGCTAACGCGGTTCCTCCTTCGTCCCTTGATTAACTCGAAAAAAAAAAGGATTTTTAGTTTTTGTTGGTATATAGCATCTACGGAAATACATAATCTGTGAAAATTTCAACTTTCTAACTTTCATGGTTCATGAGATACAGTCTGGTGACAGGTGGACGGACGGCCTTTGTAATAGGCTTCCATTTTACCGTACGGAACCCTAAAAATTAGAGGATTGTAGATAAAGTTAATTTTTTACATAACTAAAATGTAAAAAGAAGGGGTTTTGATCTTCCTGATCATAGTGTGTAGTTTGTACTAAGAAGCCTAATATTAAATATCATACATTGATTAATGGTATTTATTAAGACTTTAGTTCTCTAATTCCCCCAAGTACCCTAGTTCCCCTACTATACTACAGTTACCAACATTGAGCAAGAATCGTCATCTTCCTTGTCACACAAAATTTCGGATCCTGAAATAATAAATATTTATACATTGAATACGTAAACAATGTTAAATGAATTACTATTATTATTGATTGTACTGCATTTTCAGTTTTGAATTCAATAATAAATAATAATATATTCATACTAATATAAAGTAATATTTTGTTATCTAATATATTATTGTAAATTCGTGAGTAATATATTATTTATTTATTTATGTTGTATATCAATGGGTAGGTTACCCTTTTACAATTATATAAAGAAAACATTTTAAATTTAAAACTAATTAAGTGTAGAAAAAAAATTATAATAATAATAATAAAATTATTTAAAACAATTATAATAAAATATATATAATTCTGACTAATAAATAATAAGTAAATAATATTTTGGTTAAAATATCAACATTTTTTTTCCCTGATAATTAATCAATATTTTTAATAATAACATAGATTCTGTTTTAAAACAGTTGCGAGATAGAAGAAATATGTCTAATAACGTACAAAGTATGGAGGCAGTATTTTAATAATAGTGGGTGGGCAAACCTAACCTCATCAACTTAACCTCATCGGAGGGGCTGCTTCCTGTGATTTTTTTTTTCTATAAGTATAGTAAACTACCGTGGGGATTAAAGAAAGTCAAGAGATATGTAATTAGTACTAACTATACTAAGAATACCTAATATAGTAAATAGTAATATGAAATATTGTACTTGTATATTGTTTGATGGTAATTATTAAGACTTTAGGGCTCTAAGCCCCCAAGGACCCAACTACCAATATTTTCATCACTTAGAATTACATAATATTTATTTAAACAACAGTTATCAATTCTGATCAAGATGATACAGATTGTTGTCTTTCGAGTTTTCTGTCACACAAAATGTCTGAAATAATGAATTCTTAATATGCTAGTTATGCATTAAATACGTAAACAACATCTAGTAAATTAAGATCATTATTAATCGTTTTAATCAGCATTTGTTGTTTGAACATAATAATATATTATATTGTATAATCTTATACTATACCTATAAAAATATATTATAATGTAGGTATAATCTTATACAATATACATCGTGTATATTCATGTGTAATCAGTGTTGGGGAGTAACTTAACTTAAGTTACAAGTTACTGTAACGAAATTACTTTTTAAGTAATTTGATGGTAATTTAATTACATTTTATTGTATGTAATTTATATGTGATATAAGTTACTTTTTTGTAGTAAATTTTACTAAATTACTCGTTACTTTTTTTTTGGATTATTAATTTTTTTTAGAACTTACCTATTGATAATATTGTGTGTAGGTAAATATTGAAATATATCATAATATAACTTATAAGTATTTTAATTTATAGGTAAAATTGTCTAAACTGTAATATTTTTGTTATAGCTATTGACTATTCGACTATAAAGTGTTATTTTTAGAATGGAATTATCTTTACTATCTTTACTCTGTGTTGTATCGTCGCGGACGGCTCACGGCTTCAGCGTCTGAGCATACAGCATTGTTATAACTATCAATAAATAGTAATAATAATAAACGGAGTGGCCGAGCGGACTATGACGTTAGTTTTAACGCTCACCGTCGCCGGTTCGAATTTCGGTCACGGGCTGAACTTCTCTCCGGCAGACATCGGTCTGGAGAGAGAGGCCGCCGGGCATGGCAGAAACCTACGGATGCCCAATTTGAAATTCTGCTAAGCTAAAACGCACGTGTTTATAAAAACCTACAGTATCCTCCCCCACAGTTAAAAACCACCCAATTGCCTAAGTTCCTGCGAGTTAATTAATAAAAAAAAAAATTAATTAATAAATAAATGTGTGGCGCAATACGACTGATAGTAAGTTACGCCCGCTGCTACTAGTTCCCAGATGGGTGCCCACCCGGATTCGTAGTAGTAAAAACCTTGCCACACTTACACGTGTTTGCATACATACTGTAACAAGTAACAACCATAACAACACCTTACCATACCAACCTTACCAACCACACTTCATAATCACCTACAATAACAGCTAATGGCCATAGTAGCCGGGCTTAAGTTCAATAAAAAAAATAATAATAATAATGTTGCAAAATAAGTATCTGTTAATAATTTCATATGTTTAATTGTCATTACCTATTTAGTTAATGTATTGTTATATTGACAACATGATTATTAATCTCCAGTGATATTTTTGAAAAAATGTAACTGCTATTGTAATTCAGTTAGGTACTTTTTAAACTCAAAAGTAATGTAACTTAACCAAATTAAAAAAAAGTAACTTAAAAATAATTTAGTTACAATTTTGATAAGTAATTAGTAATGTAATTTAATTACCAAAAATAAGTAACTTCCCCAACACTGTGTGTAACATGTACTGTGGCATCATTTCAGCTAATAATGGTGGGTCCAGGAGCTAAAGTTTTACCAGCCAAAAAAATATAAAGAGAGAACCACTCGTTTTACTCTCAAGCTACTTTCCACTCACAGTTTTTGTCTCAGTTTATCATATGAACAAATTTCATTGTGACGGTTCTGTTTTGCAGTAATCGCTAAGTGTTCGTACTTCGTTTTATTTTCATAATTTTTATTTAAACAAAACAATAATCTTATTTACGATCTAGCACATTCTGTCTGAACTTAATAACTATAAATAGACATTAATTGTAATTATAACGATAATTCCCAGTACCTATAGATATAATTAAAGATATAATATTTCTTCAAAAAAAATTGAAATATTAACGTTTCTCAGTTCATCACCAAATAAACATTGTATTTGTTTCCTTTTAAAGGCATATGAATGGAAAATTGAGAAAATGTCTACCTTGCCCCCTCTTCACAGACATAGACACCACTGAATCTTATGAGCATTTGATGTATAACTTTGTGTTTTAAATAAACAGGTAGTAATTGAAATGAAAAATTTTACATAAATCCTAATTCAATACCTATTTTAACTAAAAAGAAAGTGTCATGTGGTTGCTTTTTCCTTCACCTTATCTATACTTTGATGTACCTAACTAGTTTTTTTCTATTTCAAATTATGGTATCTACTGATTAGTTATTATGTTATACGATATGATTGCATGTATTACATTTCATAATACAAATACTGTATTTAAAAATGATATTATATAAAACAATAACATATTATCATCAGGATTATATATTTTTGCAGTTCCAAAACAAGCTCACACACACACACATGTTACATGCACTTATATATTATATATTTTTATTAAAACTGATAAAAATTAAATACAGTATTAATTAAAATCTGTATACTAAGTTTAATTTTAACTAATCAGTTCGAAAAATAATTGGTACATATTATATTGTAAAGTTGTGTTAACAACTCTTCACATTAAATAGATACATGAATTATTTTTTTTTTGGTAGATTTAATAGTATATACTAACATAATTTTCTACTTATAAATATAATGTTTACACTGATATTACTTACCAAAAATTAAGCATGAATATATTAACCAGAAATACATCACATTCATTGCCAATTGTGAGTTGAGACTAAGCAAATTTATTTGAAATATATAACCAAACAAACAATAGATATTCATACATAAGTCATATTAAATTAACGCCACTATACACTAAACAATATTTTATTCAACATTTTCTAACTTGTAGGAATACCAAAATATAGTATAATAATAATATAATATAATATATTAAACACTGACAGTATCTTTATTGGATTAATTAATTAATTTCATAAATTATCACTTCATCGAATAAGATGGTAGTATGTAGTCGGTTCGATATTATGCACCTACTACCAGCTAGGTATATTTGATCACATTATCGACCGACGACCGAAGGACAAACTACGCAGATAGGTGGCAATGAACAAATTATTAATTTGCTAACTTGTTTTAATAATAATTATATAAGTCCTACTATTACGCGTCTACGTCAGACAAGTACACCAAAGACTGGACACACACACATATATTATATTATATATGCACACCACCTACACACTAGCCTCAATGGATTTGCTCGGTGAACCTGTCCACCTCGCTTGAGTGGTATATGCATATAAACAGCACCGTTTTGGCGGCACTGCCACATTCCAATTTTAATTCCAAACTCGACAGTATTTTGTATTCTTTTTTTGAAAAATGTCTTACAAGTAAAATAAAATTTCTAATAAAATAAATAACATAATTTTATTTAGGTACAAGAAACATTTATCAAAGGTGTTAACGCTATAAAGTTGAGATACAAAATACGTAAGAAGTTGTTGGTAATTTATTCTAATTGTTTCAAATTTAAATTATTCAAATTTTTTTAAATAGATGCCTACGCAAACACTATATAACATATAAGACAACATGATGAGAGTATCTAATTCCAGTTATGTTAACTGTAAGTTACAATTGCGCATGAGAACGAAGATACCATCATTGTTACTTGCCGTGCTAAAATAACGAGAACCAATGCGTTCGTAATCTACATAACAATATTATATTTTTATAATTAGGATTCTGAATTTGAAATATTTCACTTGAAACTTTTCAGTTGAAATATTTCAAAATTGGAAATTTCACTCTCCTTGAAATATTTCAATGAAATTATGAAAAATATTTTTTCTTCTTTTAAACGTGTTTGGTTATAGATGATTAGAAATAATAAATTGATTACACACTTAGAAATAAAGAGAAACATATTATTTTTGTTGATTTATTATTTCATATTTGTTTATTCTATATACTGGGTGATTCTTTTATCAAACAACACTCATTATTTCAAAAAGTGTAAATTTTTTTGAAGATATTTTTTTACATAGTTTCAAGTCGCTTATAAAACAACGTTTTTATTAAAAAATTATATTTTTAATTATTTTTTATCCTTATAATTTTTTAAGTTTTTTACTTTTTTGAATGACAACATAGGGTTTTAATTTTATATTCTAAAGTAGAATATTTTTCTTAGTATTTTGATACATGAAAATTGAATTTGGGGCGAGTAGTTTATGAGTTATAAGTATTTAAAGTTTAGACGAGCGGTGAAGTGGACAAGCATTTCGCGGGGTAACCCCGAACCACTCCACTCCACTCGTCTAAACTTTAAATACTTATAACTCATAAACTACTCAACCCAAATTCGATTTTCATGTATCAAAATACTAAGAAAAATATTCTGCTTTGGAATATAAAATTAAAACCCTATGTTGTTATTCAAAAAAGTAAAAAACTTAAAAAATTATAAGGATAAAAAATATTTAAAAATATAATTTTTTAATAAAAACGTTGTTTTGTAAGCGACTTGAAACTATGTAAAAAAATATTTTCAAAAAAATTTACACTTTTTGAAATAATGAGTGTTGTTTGATAAAAGAATCACCCAGTATAGTGATGAAAAATATTAGTAGCATTATTTTGAGAGTAAAAACATTTTTTATATGAGTTTTAAAATATTGTTGTATGCGGACCGTGAGCGCGGTCCAAAAGATAATGGTTTGGAATAAAGTTGAAATCAATATTTCAACCAGTGAATGAAATAATAGTGTATTTTCAGTAATTATTAGTGTACAAAAGTCGTATATGTGTGTATGACGTGGCCGAGTGATGTGATTATATGAAGGTGCTCTGGACTGACTGGACTCTTTTATTTAATACTTAGATCATATTTTGTATATTGTAAAAGGTCACAACTCACGACTATTATACGACTTTTATAAGTCTAAACATTGTGAATATAATATAATATAATATAATGATAATATGTATTCGCAGAGCCATAGCTCTCAACAATATCTTATGATGTTGAGTTGGTTTATGAGTTTGTAACTTAACAGTTAAAAGGCAATGTTTAAATTTGTTATATTATAATTTATAGATTTGCTAAATAACTTATAAATTAAATGTAAATACCTATGTTACATATTTTCTTTGTTTCATACAACAAACCAACTTTTAAAAATGTTCATTTTGAATTTTACGGCTATAAACTTTTAGATATAATAAACATTTTATCTCTATTTTTCATGGAAATTAAATATTTCATGAAATTTTAAACCGTAGTTATAATATATCTCACATAACACACGAATAAAAGAATAAAATATAAAAATATACCGAATAATATACGGAATATAAATCGATCCTAAATGTTGTATAGACACGATTTATTACTATTTAGTAATAGGTATACCTTGTATGGTTTACATTCTATAATAATAATATGATATAATAAAATATAAGTACGAATAATATAAAATAATTACTATACATTTAAATTAAAACAAAAATATTTGTAATTCGTTTATATATTTCTATTATGTAAGTACCTACATAATCTGAATAACCAGTATTAAGCTTATTTAGTATAGGTACTTCGAAGAACCTCAAGTTTTAATTTACGTAATAGTAGGGTGCAGTGGCGTATTTACGATTTTTACGCCCCTTTTTTTCTCAGTTTCCTTTTATTCATTGTCACAAAAAACTTTTAAGCCTCCTCTAATTTACAATTTACTTTTTCTCTCAGTTAATAGTGCAGGGCTTGAAACCGGTATAAACCGTTATAAAACCGAAACTGAGAACAAAATCAAAACCAAAAGTGAAAAAAATTGGTACCTGTATTATAATTAAAAACCGAAAATATAATTTAAAAAACAGTATTTTTTTTTTGAAAATCTTTGTATCTTGACATTTTTGAAAGTTTACTTTACACAACAGGACAATCGGACGCTCGATCCAGTGATTAAAAAAAAAAAAAATAAACTAAGAATGAACGTAAATAGTCCTGGTCTTGAAACCAATTTTAGAAACCGGTATAAACCGTTTAAAAACTGAAACCGATAATAAAATCAAAAGCAAAATCTGAAAAAATTGGAAATCAGTATTAAGTCCAAAACCGGAACCGAAAAAATTAGAAACCAGTGTACAAATCGAAACCAAAACAGAATTTTTTTCAATCGGTTTCAAGCCATGTAAAAGTGATAATTGATAACCCAAAATGTATATTTTCCCCTTATTGCATTTATGCTTCCACTATAATTTAGAGAACACTTTTATTTTACCATTAACACTCCATTTATTCCTAATAAAAGCCAACCTTTGTAATTAAATAAACAAATTATAATTTAGATTTTAGCCTTTTTTACGACAGTTTAATAAAATACATTATATATTTATATATTATATAGAAATATGTATAGAAATGTAAAAGATATTAGGTATAAGAAAGATACAGGTATTCACTTATCAGTTATCACTAACATAGTTTCTCAACAAATCCAATAAAAAAAAAAAAATAACTCCGTTACAACCTCTAGCGACGGCGCCTCTTTGAGGACTCAGAATTTGGCGCCCCGGGGAAATTGTCCCCCGTCACCCCCCGCCCCCCTCAATAACCCACTGGTAGGGTCAATATGAACAATTTTAAAACAAACAAGTTTGTAATTCACTGATTTATCATTACCACCTATTTAAGTAGTTTGACCTTCGGTCCAACATGTGATCGCATTATCTGGTAGCATGTACATTGTACATAACGTCATATTAATACCGACTACATACTAGCTTCGTGAACAAGTTTTATAGAAGACCCGACATTATGTATCTGGTGTTGTAAAGTCTTATTGGTATTATAATCGTCGCTTACTTAGTGTTACCTTATGATGTTAAAATTAATTAATTCTCTACAGATGTTATACTTTATAATAGTGTATATTAATTATTAGTTTATAAATATAGTATTTTTACTATATAACCTAGGTTTGTTAATTTTTGTTAAAATAATGTTTAGTGTGTAGTCACGTTCATTTGGTGTAACATATTTTGTTATTTTAAAATATATTCGATTTAAACTCAACTCACCAATGGCAATGAAGAATACGTGTTCCTGGTTAATATATTCCTGTTTATTTTTCGGTACGTCATATCAGTATTAACAATATAATAAAAAATAGAAAATAATGATTTATAGCATTATGTATTAATACCTGTTATAATATTTTAAATATTTAAATATTAAACATATTAAGAAAAATGTATTTAGATTTTTTGACTAAAGAATTAATTACTTACGTGGAACCTCGTTTCAATTTCTCAGTCCTTATCTATAATTGTTGAACATTTTATAAATTCTTAACTACAATATTGGGCAGGGGAATAAACGCTTTTACCAGTCAATAAAATGTAAAAATAAAACCACACGTCTCATTCGAAGGCTGCTGACCACTAATACAATTTTTTTCACAACATAATCATTACAATCGCTATCATATAATATTATTTTAAATATATTATCACGAGAACAAATTAATTTATAACGGTTTTGTTGATAGTTAACCACGAATATTAAGAACTGGCTTCTCATTTGTTACCTTATATATATGTTATATTTTTATCAATTCTTATAAGTAAATTACAAAATGCTCAAAATATTTACAAGGTTCCATGTTCAACTTTTGTAGCTTAGGACTGAAAAATTAAAACATGGAACCTTGTAAACATTTTAAACATTCTATCAAGTATAGGAATTGATAAAATAAACATAAGGTACAAATTTCAAGTATCTACATTTATTCGTTTCTGAATTACACTGAAAAAATTTCCGTTTTTCCTTAGTTTATATTTTTTTCCCTGCGCTTTTGAAATGTACTGGTTATTTTTTACCGCGCAAAGTACCAACATGATTTACTTTTCACTATCAGAAAAAAATCTAAGCTTTATTAATTATAAACTGACCAAATTAAAAGTCCTAAAATCCGAAAGCCACTCCTTAATATTCGTCGATATTTACAAACAAAATCGTTCTACACTAATTTTGTTCTCGTCATAATAAATTTAAAATAATATTATACGATAGCGATTGTACTGTGACCAAAATTGTATAAGTGATAAACAGCATTCGAATGAACCGTGTGGTTTTATTTTTACATTTTATTAACTGATCAAAACTTGTGTTCCCCTACCCAATATTGTTTACTAGAATACTGTCACCGAAATATTATGCACAAATGCACAAATATATATCATAATATATATAATATATGATTACAAAATATTTTAAAATATTACCTAAAATATGATATTATTAGTATTTAATTTATAATGATTAATTATTTTAGCATCTGGAATTTTGTGTGACAGAAAACTCGAAAGACGACAAGCTGTATCATCTTGCTCAGTGTTGGTGATTGTAATATAAATAATTATTATGTTATTATAAGCGGCGAAAATAGTGGTGTTTAGGGCTTTGGGGGGGCTTACAGTCCTAAAAAGTTAATACTTAATAAGCACCATCAACCAATATAATATGATGAACTTTATTTAATATTAGGTTTTCATACTACTAACTAGTAATTACACATTATGATCATTAAGATTTAAACCACTTTTTTTATGTTAATTATGTAAAAATTTAACTTAATCTACTATTCACTCATTTTTTTTCTATTGTTAAATTTTTACCGTGTATGGGTCATCAAATTCCGACATTCCCTATAACATTTAATTATATGCTCTGTAATCGAATTGTTTATTATTAACTTGAATCTATTTTATATTAATCTTTTTATGTTCTATAAAAATTTCAAAAATTATATTAAGTGGGCTCCAGTCGATGAAAAAAGGTGACTTTTAGACCAATAAGATAGACAAAACTGGAGGAATTTAGTTTGACGGATTTTATTTTTGAAAACGGATTATGATTGATTAACAAGTTTACTAGGTTATGCTAGAGGTGATTTTGAATATTTATTTTTCCAGCTGTGATATCCAAAAATAAAAAATATGATATTTTTTTATTTATAGTATTCATCATGACACTAAGAATAATTGGAATATTACAAATCGCATCTGGCATAACCTAGTAAACATGTTAATCAATCATAATCCGTTTTCAAAATTAAAATCCGTCAAACCAAATTCCTTCAGTCCTGTCTAGCTTATAGGTCTAAAAACCACTTATTATTATATTTAAAAAAGTCGCTCGCGCGTTCGGTAGGTTACAAGGGGGTCACTGTATAATGGATGGTATTAATTTTGAATTCAATGATATAATATCATTGTATGAGAAAAACGATTCTGAGAGGAGACGGTATTTCAGTCTAGGTTTAAGACAAATTATATACATATCTATAGTAATAAAAAAAAATATGCACAGTCTTATCATAGAGCATACTTCTTATTCATTATAGATACTATGGTAGATTGTATGGATAGGCTATCATATTTTGATTTTTTGATTTTTTAGTTTCATATATCCCCGAATAATATTTTTAAATTATAACAAAAAACTAAAATCGTTAATATTGATTTTAATATGTAATTTCGTCCAAATTTGAACTTAAAATGACTATAATAATAAATTGTGCTTGTGTATTTTTTATTTTGAAAAAAACAGAATCAACTACTTACGTGGAATGTTTTTTTAAATTTTCAATCCTTAGGTATAAAAGTTGAACATTTTATACATTTTTAACTACAAAATAATTATTCAATTTTAAATTTGATACATTTTGTCAAAATTCCAACTTTAAATGCTTATAAAAAAAATTGTGCCTATGTATTTTTAATATTTTTCAACTGATATTGTAACAATATATCAAGAGCCTTGTATTAAATTTTTGCACTTTTTGGCCCAATAGATAAAACTTTATTGATATTTATAAAATAAAAAACTAAAAAATTTGGAAACTGAAAATGTCCGTAAACAGCTCAAAAAGAGTCAAAATATTTTCAAAATTGTATGGTGTATAGGAAATACTAATATAAATATTCAGTGAAATTTTCATGTATCTACAGTTATTCGTTTATGAATTACAACAAAATAAGGAAATCGCTACATGAGAAATCGAGTGAACATCCAATGTTGTAAAAATTTGAATTTCAAACGCTCATAAAAATTTAATTTGACTTTCTTATAGACATTTTTTTTTTGATAAAGGTAGATAATCTTATAAGGAATCTTGTATTACATTTTAAAACCTTAGATTTAAAAAGAAAAATTTTTATGAATTCTTAACTCTAACTAAAATAATTTGCTAATTTTCGTGATTTTTTCATATTTTGTCAATTTTTGAACTTTGAATGCTTATAAAAAAAAACCGTGAATAAGGATTTTTAATATTTTTCAAATGTCATTGTAACAATATAATAGGAGCCTTGTATTAAATTTTCAAGCTTTTTTAAGTAACAAATAAAATGTTATTGATATTTTTAGAAAAAAAACTAATAAAAAATGGAAAATGAAAATGTGCCTAAACAGTTCAAAATAAATCAAAACATTTTGAAAATGTTATAGTGTATAGAAAATGCTAATATAAACATTCAGTTAAAATTTCATGTACCTACGGTCATTTGTTTAAGAGTTGCACCAAAAACCAAAATCGTTTTTTTTCGAAAACAGATTTTAGTGTAAAAATTCCCGTTTTTCCTTAATTTTTATTTTGTTTTTCACGCCGCTTTTGAAAACTACTGTGAAATTGACACTTTTGACCCCCCAAAGTACAATTAGATTCATTTTCCTATCAGAAATTATACTGTTGAAGAAAATCCAAGCACTTTTACTGTCCTAAAACGTGATGACAGCCACAAAAAAAAAATCACATCATTGTAAAATCAATACATTCGTTCCACCCAGAATCTAAAATTAAAAAAAAAAAACATATCATTGTAAAATCAATACATTTATCGTTCCACTCAGAATCTAAAAGTTGATTATAAATTATAATTTAAACTCTCCGTCAATGCCTGCGCGTAAGTAATTTAATTGCCGACGAATATAAATAACGACCTATATACCTGTCGGTATTATGCGGGCCTACTGTTATAATTCAGGACATTTCTAGGACATATTGACCGAAAACAATTACAGATTAAACTCACACATACTAATGTTCATTTACTTTGCACGTACTTACAAGTCATTTCAATGTCATCATGTTAAATTTCCTATATTAATTTCCTTAAAACTGGAGCCCCCCTTAACAAATATTGACAAATGAAATTATAAAAATATTAATAGTATAAAAAAAGAAAGAATATTAATTGCTATACCTAATTGTATTAATTGTATTAAATAATAATTTTTTGTACATTTGAATAAAATTATAGAAATACTGAGGATAAGTTTTATTGTTCAAACGGACTGTGTATTGAATGGTCGTGGATTTGTGATGGTCGTAAGGATTGTTCAGATGGTTCGGACGAGACCAAAGAGTTGTGTGCTCGATATGAGTATGGACCAAATATGACCAAAAGTACAAAATAATAGCTATACTACATTTAATATTATTATTTATTTATATGTTTGTGTAATGACTAATATGTGCTAGAGTTCTGAGTTACTCATATTAATCTAAATATAGAGTTTCTAATATGACATCTTATGTATCTAATAATATTATAGATTGCGGTAGAGTGTATTCCAATCGCCAATCTCAATATATCCGAAATGATACGTTTGAAATTGTTGAAACGGCACCTTGGAACGTTTTAATAAGTCGAAGACCTAAAGAACAATTCATCCATCGCTTGTCTTGTGGAGGGTCAATTATCGCTCCAAATATAGTAATTTCTGGTAAAATCCTTGTACATTGTATTTAAGAATAGGAATGGAAATTAATTAAATAATGTTGTAGGAGCTGAATGTTTTTGGGAATATGTCATGTTTTCTAATAAATTATTAGTTCAGAGTAGTCAAATTTTTGTTACTGCTCTTGTCGATAACAATAAACAAATAATGAATGTAAATTATTAATAATTCAAAGTCTACAAATAATTGGTTATTATATGAAACTAAAACAATTGTGCAGGTGGAAATAATTTACGTAAACGATAATTATAATGGAAGACATGGGTTATATGCTGATGATATTGGTATTATTGTATTAAGGGAAAAAATGTCGTTTAGTAATGATTTTTTACCTGTTTGTATCGACTGGAATAGTATATATAAAGTAGAGAATGGAGATGCAGGAATGGTAAATATGTTTTATTGTATTATGGTATCTATTTAGTTTTATTAAAAACATAAAAATAATTTGTAATTAGTTGTCTAGTTTAATTAATAATTTCTAAAAACTAAAAAGTGATCATGGTTAAGTTATCCACATAAGTTAATACCTTTCGGTGATAGCTTCAAATCGATTAAATAAATTTCAAAAACCAACTGATTATAAGGTTTAAACTATGCAAAAAAATTTACAATTCACCCTGTACATTTTGGTCAAAAATTTGTGTCAATTAACTATTAAGCCCCTTTAAGTTTTCTCTGAGAAACGTATGTAAAATTTGAAAAAACCAACTTTAAATTATTTTCAGATTGATCTCTGCAATATTAACAATATTAGTCCGTTCTAATATAAACAAAATGGGGTACATTGCCTCTTTGCACAATACACATCCTTAATGCCTAGTATGAGTCTGCAAGTATAATTATTGTTGTCATCACAAGTGCTAGGGTTTACATTAACACCCAACATAAACATTTTTGTGAAATCCCTAAACACTTATATAAATTCGTATTTGATCGATCTCCAAAATTAAAGATTTGTCACTCTTAATTTAAAAATACAATTGACTTGTACACTGTACAGTTGTACAACTGATATACTTACATAACGAGATATTATACCTTTATTATAATTGTATATTAATACATTATACAACTATTTCATACTTTTCAGGTTAGTTTATGGGACCAGAAGAATGACTCAAAAATTCCTTTTTTATCAGAGAGATCGGTTCAATACATTGACCCTGGTACTTGTCGAAGTATAAAACCAGAAGAATTTTATCAATATGTGACTGTTGATAAGTTTTGTTCCAATTTTACACAGGGTAATACAAATTCTGATTGCTGTAGTGATAAACGGTGTAACTAGCAGTGGAAATGTTTCTTTTTTTAATTATGGTTAATTAGTTTAAATAATAAATATACATACTAACGTTGTCGATAAATAAAAATTCTGTAACAATAGTAGTATTATTATATATATATTTTATTTGTCTTTGCTACTATCAATGAAAATAATAGTGAAAGTGAAACTAGGGGGACCTTTGGACTCACTGAGAGTGGATACCGAATTTGGAGTAACAGTTGTGACGGTTCTAAGACGAAAGTTTAGGGTTTGTGATAAGGATTAGTGATATGGATTGGAGATAAGGCTTGGCGCTTTGGAGGGAATGTTTAAAAGGTTGAGCGTCTATCAATCCGTCACGAACGTTGTAAATTTATAGACAGGATACTATCTCCAGGATCTCCTGGCGTTCGTCTACTGCTTTTGGTTGTTAAAATTGTTAAAAAAAAAATTTAGAGTCTATAGCTGTATAAGATTGTCCAGCTATCAGTCATCAAACTATATAGGTAAGCAATCTGACTACTTTGGATTGTGGACAATATGCGAAGCGTATATCATCACTCATCAGGTATGCAATCTCAGTGGTCGGGACGCTACTATTTTTTTGTAGCACGCTAACGCTACTGCTACTCCCCAAAAAAAGTAGCTCGCTATCGCTAAAGCTACTTTTTTTTAAATGTAGTGCGCTATTTCTAACGCTATTGTTTAAATGTAGCGTGCTACATTTTCGTTACATTTTTTTAAAAATTTTTTTGTTTATTTAGATATTCATTTGAGTACTTGGTCGTTATTTGTTAATGCCTACCACTATTTTCTTGTAATTTCGGAAGGCAGGTTTATTAAGTGTAACTCGTGTATTTTTGTAACAAAAATCAAAACAAATAAACGTTTTATTGAAAATTGCCAATAATTAGTAGTTAAGGTAATTCGATACATTGAGTTATGTCATCATTATCCTCATATGACGTGGGGGCTTCAGGTTCTGTCATTTTTAATTCAACTATTCAAAATATTTAAAACTTAAAAGAAACATAGAAAAGTAGAAAACACTGAATGCCGAAAACAAAAATAGTGATAATAAAATACTAATATATTAATTATTATTTATGGTTCTGTTTTCAATAATATAAAATATTACATTGTAATAATGCTAATGCACTTATGAATATAGTCTTATCTATCCGGTCTTAACTTAGTCCGGTCCGGGTTAAACCCGAAAAAATCAAAAACACACTCATCTTGTCATCTTAATTAAATAAATAAATATACATCATAATATTTTAATTATCATGAAATAGGTTAGAAGCAGCGATAAAATAATGAACATTTTCGCTACGCTAACCGTAAATTTCTAGCGCGCTATAGTATTTCTCTACATTGTATATACTGTAGCGACGCTATGTTAATCGCTACAGCTAAAGTAGCGTGCTACTGTAGCGTCGCTACAATTAGCGCGCTACCCCCGACCACTGTGCAATCTACACTTAGATCATATATTATGATTTTGTTGCCGGTAAAGCGACGAGTCACCGAATTGGGTGATCGATGTGCGCAAGCGCAATGTAACTCCTACCATAATTATCCATAGGTACAATAGGTATCTATGGATAAATATGCTAGAAGGCACGTTGTGAATGAGCATATCGACCACCTAATTCGTGACTAGTTGCTGATATTGGCAACGTTTTTTTGTATTGATTTGGTACACTGTGGCTCCATCCATAGTATATGATCTAAGAATCTAAAGAATTAAACTGCGCCTCATCATAGATGTTATAAGCGTTATCATCCTATTTCCATTGATAACTGATGTTATCATATTGGCATGAAACAATTCGGACCCCGTTAGTAGCGTAGGTATGTGAAGAATGGAAAATATAGTTTGTGATGTTCCTATGAGTCTCGCTGAATGTGGGTATACATTTTGGAGTAGTAATAGCGGTAGAGTAGGCTCCAAGGCCTATTATATTATGTGATTTATAATGTGCCAGTGATTCGTTCCAACTTCTCAAAAAATATGGCCATTATATCGTTAACTTATAATAACCATTTATCACTCGTGCCATTGTCGCCCTCTTTTATGTTCTTCACCACAATTGCTTAAAAAGCCCAATTGTGTTAATTTATATATAAATTAAATTAAATGTTGCCCTCCACCCGGAAAATTGAACGGATGACCACCTATGCACTACCTTACAATGGTAATATGTTCAATTTGAGTCTTATGTATAAAATATCCAGTGGCATACGTAAGGTTATAATTCTAGAGGTCTGCCCCCCCCCCCCCCTGAAATGTCTTCCTTTTACAAAAAAAACGTATAAACGTCTGCCATAACCGTCGTAACCATCATGTATCATCGTCCATCGATTATTACCACGTTTACTACGACCCGAAGAGGCTATATAGAGGACCAAGTGTCCAGGTTAAACACATAAGTGATCTAAATGTCTAAAATATCTCTTGTTCCAGAAACAAATATATGGGCTCAAGATCGTGGAGCAGGCATATCCTTTTTACACTTTAATTCATATTATTTAACCGGGATACTTAGTTTCAATAGTTATGATTTAAGCAATACAAGCAAACCAGTCTTAGGTTTTACAGATATTAAATACCATGTTCAATGGATTCGTGGAGTTTTAAATAAACATGTACGTAAACATAATATTACTTTAAAGGTATTAATTAAAATTTAAAATGTATTATATTGGTTTGGTTTTTTTAATGACGTTAAAACTAAGATATTTTAGAAGGAATATATATAGGTATATTTAACATTTAAGGTTTTGGCAGTTCACAGGGAGTTCGTGCGTTTTACCGGCCGTCGAAGGAGTTGTATATTCTTATGAAGGTTCTAATGATATTTTGTCTCACGGGACATTAATTAATAATAAACTTACTGTTATTGAGAATTGTGAAGTTGGATATCATAAGGCTTATACATATAGCTTCAGGTATTGTCTGGGAAGAGGAAAATGGTTATCCAATTTTGAGAAATTGTGTTTCAGTTAGTATTATAATATAGTAATTCGAATGTTGTACCTAATAATTACTATGTAGGTATAATATTAAAAGTCCAAAGTATAGTTATGATTGATTATAATTTATTTATGTTTATAGAAATGTGTCCACCTCTAGAATCAGATAGTTTAGATATTAAATGTAGTCATAAATGTAAGTATGCTAATTGTTCGAATTTATCGAAACCCGATACAATAGCAATACCATCATGTAAACCAACATATATTGCACCAAATGGACAAGATGCGGCTTCACTTGAATTACATTGTCAGTCGGACGGAACGTGGAATAAACAACTATATAGTTGCAATCCATGTAATTGTATTTTTTGTTATATAAACATAAGTATCTAATTTATACATATTCTACTAGTTTATTTATCATTTACTGTATCCAAATACTTTTATGTATGCATTATAAATTATATAATTAAGGAAGTAAAAATAATCACTAAGTTAGGTATAGTTGTTTGATGTATATTTTTAAACAATCATCATTATGCCTATTTTGTAGGTATTATTACTTATTAAGAGGATATTTGTTGTCTCCTCTTGTGGCGTCCTCTTTATCAATATAATTTATATTTATATTTATATTCAAATATTATTTTAGATTGCGGTAGAGTACATATCCAAAACCAAGTATTGATCAAAAACGGCGAGAAAGCACTTGTTGGAACAGCACCTTGGAATGTTGGAATATATCAATTAACACAAAAAAATTATAATTATGACCTGATTTGTGGAGGATCAATTATTGCACCAAATTTAGTCATTACTGGTAAAATCTTTGTACAATGTATTTTAAAAAGAATAAAAATTAAATAAAAATAATTTTCAGCGGCTCATTGTTTTTGGCAAAAAGGTATGTTATCCAATAACATATCGATAAACGATGGTCTATACAAAACGGCTGTTGGAAAATATGATAGAAATTTTACAATTATTGACAATGATTTTACTCAAATAATGAATGTACGTCATTGATAATTCAAAAGTCTAAAGATAATAAATTGGTTTGACATATTAAATACTATAAATTAAAACAATATTTGTGTAGGTGGAAATTATTTACCTGAAAGAAGGTTATAATGGACCTACTGGCTTTCATGCTGAAGATATAGCTATTATTGTGTTACAAAACAGAGTTTCTTTTAATAATGATGTTGCACCTGTGTGTATCGATTGGAATGGTAAATACAATGTAGTCAATGGAGATCAAGGAAAGGTTGGTTTCTAGTATTATTTGAATAATTAAATTGTGATTTTATTACTGTTACTAATAAATTACAGGCAATTACAATTTACAATACTTAACTAAAAAAGGTAGGGAAATGAATACCACTCTGCTGAGCAGTAGGTTACAAGTGGGTCATTGTAATGGATGGTTTTACTTTTACATTTAAATGACATAATATCATTGTATACGAAAAAGAATTCTGAGCGGAGATGGTCTGTCGGTCAGCCTATTTTATAATGATACTTTTAAAAACAACAAAATAACAAATCTTGTTAGGGTAGTCTTTGTTTAAATATCAAATTTCGTCTTAATTTGGACCCAAAATAACAATGAAAAAAAAATTTGTAGGAATATATAAATGTTTACAATTTTTTGGTAACAGTATAAACTACTTATAATATACCGTGTGTTCAATTTTCAACCCTTATCTATAAAAAGGTGGGTAAGTGGATGTCGCTCTGCTGTACAGTAGGTTACAAGGATGCTATTAAATTTGAATTCAATGATATAATATCATTGTATAAGAAAAACGATTCTGAGCGAAGACGGTATGTCAGTCTAGGTTTAAGACAAATTATATACATATCTATGGTATTAAAAAAAAAATTGACCTATAATATATTCCAAATTAATCATATCACATTATCACAATATCCATTAGGTACTTATAACACGTTATACATCAACATCAATAACAAACCCTGATACTATCATAGATAATATATAATAGTACACTTTAGAAGTTTCAAGTAGGTACCCACGAATAATATTATATAATCACAACAAAATAACTAGGTTTTTTAATATGTAATTTCGTCCAAATTTGAACATAAAATGACTATAAAAATAAACTGTGATTGTATATTTTTTAGATTTTTCGGTAAGAGAATTAACTACTTACGTGGAATCTTGTCTTAAATTTTCAATCCTTAGCTATAAAAACCATTTTATAATTTATTAATTACGATGATTAATAATTTTCGAGATTTTGAAAAATTCTGTCAAAATTCGATGTTTAAATGCTTATAAAAAAAAATTGTGAATATGTATTTTTAAAATTTTTCAACTGATATTGTAACAATATATCAGGAGCCTTGTATTTCATTTTTACACTTTTTAACCCAACAGATAAAACTTTATTGATATTCATAGAAAAAAAACTAAAAAAATTGAAAAATGAAAATATCCGTAAACAGCTCAAAAGAGTCAAAATATTTTCAAAATTGTATGGTGTATAGGAAATGCTAAAATAAACATTCAGTGAAATTTTCATGTATCTATAGTTATTCGTTTATGAATAACAACTAAATAAGGAAATCACTACATGAGAAATCGAGTGAACATCGAATGTTGTAAAAATTTGAATTTCAAACGCTCATAAAAATTTAATTTCTAGAAAAAAAACTAAAAAAAATGAAAAATAAAAATGTCCCTAAACAGTTCAAAATAAATCAAAATATTTTGCAAATGTTATCGTGTATAGAAAATGCAAATGTAAACAACCAGTGAAAATTTCATGTATCTACGGTCATTTGTTTTAAAGTTACACCAAAAACCAAATTCAATTTTCTGAAAAATCGATTTTGCGTAAAAATTCCCGTTTTTCCTTAATTTTTCTTGGCGCTTTTGAAAAGTACAGGGAATTTTAAATGTTGACCTCCCCAATGCACCAACGATATTCACTTTCCAATCGAACAAGAAGCATTATTTCGACTACTTATCGTGTACACTGACACAAAAAAAATAAAAAAAAACACACATCATTGTAAAATCAATACATTCATCGTTTCACTCAGAATCTAAAACTGAAAATTTTATTAATTTGTAACTAACTACAAAATAATTAATAAGGTTTCGTGATTTTGATGAATTATGTCAAATTTAAAACTTTGAATGGTTATATCAGAGGTATGCAAACCTTTTTATCCCGTGGCACTTTTTTGTGTTCAAACTATTTTTATGGATCCCAAATTATTATGAAAAATTGAAACAATACGGATACTATATTAGTCAATATGGGTGATAATAACAGTGATTTTAGTACTAGAAATAAAACTTCAAATAGTCAAGTAATGCGTGTTTCGTCATTGTTTCCATAACCGCTATATTAATTTTGGTTTCCGGTGCTTTGACACGGCTCCCTTCGACAACTCTCTCCATGCCCCTTGGAGCCGCAACGCACAGTTCTAATATTTCGGGGTTATATGAAAAAAACTATGAATATGAATCTTTATATATTTTTAATTGTGTTTGTAACCATTTATGAGTAACAATATATTATATTTACTTTAGGTAGGAAAACTAATTTTAAATTTTGTATTATATATTTTCAAATATTTGGATTTTTGACAGAGTGAACATTTTTTGCCGATAAAAATTTAAAAAAAAAACTACTAATTATCAAAATATAAATATAGGTACCTAAATATCTAAAAAACTTAAATATATATAAAATAGTAATATGTAGATAAGAAATTTAAAGTATCGAAGGTTATTAGTTTTTTAGTTGCATAAAAAAAACTAAATAATAACGTGATATTCAATTTTTGTTCCCCTATAATTGCCTATATACAGGCATTTATTCCGTTAAACAACCTAACACCGTCGATAACATTGGTCGGGTGCAAAACTATTTTATGAGCTTTGTTGGTTGTATTGCCTCAATATCCCACCCAAAAATCATAATTACAGGCAATAGTGAAGCACTTATATTCAATTATCATTCAGCCAAGAGTTATAAATTTGGTATTAACTTCATTGGATGTCTAATCGAGGGTCGAGTCGATGCCCCGAGACTTCTTGAACTACTTGATTTTCGTATTCCCAGTTATACTAGGCTACAGTGTTCCTTTTAATTTTTATCCCGCTAACAATAAGTCTAACTTCGCCAGAAATGTCCCACTCTCAAAAATGATGCTCAATGCTTTAATTCTACCTCTAGTACGGAGGCAAACATTTTTGTTTGTTGTTTTTTTTTAAATTCTCATCCTTAAACAATTCACATTTTTATAATACTTAGTTATATAAGTTTAGTGATACGTAAACAATACTGTCAATACTGTTATATATATTTTATCTTTGTGTTTACATTCTATGTATTTATGAATTATGATATTTCGTAAAATGCCAACTGGTTGTTTTTTCCAACGTTTATAAAAATAATTGTGAATTTACCAAATTTACTCACAGAACAACCTGCTAGATTCGTTTTTCCATCAGAAAAGACGCTGCCGTCGAAAATTAATCATTTTCCTACTAAAATAAATATTTACACACTGAAAAAAAACATGTCATTGCAAAATCCATAGGTACATTCATCGCCTTGCTTAGAATTAAAAACCAAATCTTAAAATACCTACAAAATGTTATATTATAGGAATATACGATAATTTGCGAAAGCAGTTCCCGCAGCGTCGTCGGTTTAAACATGGAAAAAAAAAAGAATATACGATAATATTATGATAAATGTACATTTTTAATGGTTTTATATTTTTACAGATAGTTGGTTGGGGAAAGACGGAAACGGGCATTTCAAGTCCTATTTTATTAGAAGCATCTTTACCATACATCGACCATAGTTCTTGTCGGAATATATGTGCGAATGGATTTGAAGCATATATTTTGACTGATGATAAATTTTGTGCATTGGGTAATAAAATATTTAAACATTAATAAGTAGGTATCATGAAACCATCGACTTAGGTTAAATTTATTAAACACGGGATATTGAAAGGAGACCCTTTTAAACATGAAGATTTACTTAATTTGTATTAAATTAATGAATCACATTTTACAATAATATAAATTAACCGAATAACTCGATATTGAGAATCATAATTTATTATCAAAAAAGATAGAGAATAATATTTTTGAGGAAATTACATATATCGATTTGCCTAAATATTGTCTCAAAACAATTTAAACATAATATAAATTTACAACATTTTTGTCTTTATTTTGAAAGTCGATTACAAAGTCAAATAACAATAAAATATAAAATCGATATGTCATTCCATCAAAAATATTATTCTTTATGGGTGATTTTACTCTAAGATTACTTAAAAACAAAGAAAAAATTATTCTGCGTTAATTCGTTTTATCTATGTTAGGCGTCCTCTTAAGAATTACGAATAAAATATTTTTAGTTTCAGGACAAGGAGTGGTTAAGGAAGATAGCGGTGCAGGCTTAAACTTTCTACACTCTAATTCTTATTATTTAACCGGAGTAGCGAGTATGAATGATCCAAACACAAATAGTTCAATCGCAGCTTTTACAGAAATTATGTACCACATTCAATGGATTCGTGGTCTGTATAACAAATATAACTATATCTGATAAAATATTATGGTAATGATATAAAAATATTTTATTACAATTGTAATTGAAATAAATATTTGAATAAAGAAGTTTTTACTTGCTTATATGCGTAAACATTTTTAACAGTTCATAAAGTTGTTCATTTAAATTAAATATAATAAGTATCTACATAATATATCATAATACATTGGTAGTACGTAAGCATTGTATAATATAATATAATAAATTGACACATATTAAAATTGAACAGTTTTTAGTACATACCAATTTTGCCTTGTACATTCATAGTTTCATAATTTTATTATTAGTATTAGTTTTTGAGTTATTACATTTATTTACCAAGGATATGTGTTCCGGCGAGGAATTGGATATCCAATATCCAATATCCAATTCCTCGCCATATGGAGTGTATGAGAGATTCTGTTCCGTCTCCGCGTAGGTCTGACTACGGAGTATAGTTGGTGTTAAGGGAAGTTCTAAACCGCGCAAGTCTGCCTGGGTGAGTCTTGCCTCAGAATAGTTGTGTTTAGTGAATGAATCTATACTGCGCAAGTCTGCCCTGGGTGGGTCTATTGCTAAGAATACTGAATAGATGTGAAGAATACTGAATGATTTTGTGCTCCGCACACGTATTTATGAGCCTGGTCTCGCCCTCTGCGGCGCTGTGTAATCGCATGTTTAGTACAATTTGTTACTTTACTTATACAACAGATAATTTTTTTGAAAATGTTGATGTGTCTAAATCACGGTCATCTGATTGATCTAAATCAAAATTCATAAGATGCAGTAAAAGCCGCTCATCTAGGTACCTACTCAACTAGAGTAAATTCAACAATAACATAATGGGGATCGTTGTGTTACATTTTCAAGTTTTTTGACAGAGCAAACATTTTTTTATCGACAATAATTTAAAAAAAAAAAGGTGGGTAAGTGGATGTCGCTCTGCTGTACAGTAGGTTACAAGTGGGTCACTGTATAATGGATGCTATTAAATTTGAAATTAATGATACAATATCATTGTATAAGAAAAACGATTCTGAGCGAAGACGGTATGTCAGTCTAGGTTTAAGTAAATTATATACATATCTATGGTATTAAAAAAAATTGACCTATAATAAATCCCAAATTAATCATATCACATTATCACAATATCCATTAGGTACTTATAACACGTTATACATCAACATCAATAACAAACCCTGATACTATCATAGATAATATATAATAGTACACTTTAGAAGTTTCAAGTAGGTACCCACGAATAATATTATATAATCACAACAAAATAACTAAGTTTTTTAATATGTAATTTCGTCCAAATTTGAACATAAAATTACTATAAAAATAAACTGTGATTGTATATTTTTTAGATTTTTCTTTAAGAGAATTAACTACTTATGTGGAATCTTGTTTTTAATTTTCAATCCTTACCTATAAGAACTGAACATTTTATAATTTATTAATTACGATGATTAATAATTTTCGAGATTTTGAAAAATTCTGTCAAAATTCGATGTTTAAATGCTTATAAAAAAAAATTATGCCTATGTATTTTTAATAATTTTCAACTGATATTGTAATAATATATCAGGAGCCTTGTGTTAAATTTTTACACTTTTTGGCCCAACAGATAAAACTTTATTGATATTCATAGAAAAAAAAAACTAAAAAAAAAATTGAAAGCTGTAAAGGTCCGTAAACAGCTCAAAAGAGTCAAAATATTTTCAAAATCGTATGGTGTATAGAAAATTCTAATATAAACATTCAGTGAAAATTTCATGTATCTATAGTTATTCGTTTATGAATAACAACTAAATAAGTAAATCGCTACATGAGAAATCGAGTGAACATCCAATGTTGTAAAAATTTGAATTTCAAACGCTCATAAAAATGTAATCTGACTTTCCGGTAGAGATTTTTTTATTGATAAAGGTAGACAATCTTATGAGTATTCTTGTATTACATTTTCAAATCTTAGATTTAAAAATAAAAATTTTTACGAATTCTTAACTCAAAATAATTTGCTAATTTTCGTGATTTTTCCATATTTTGTCAATTTTTGAACTTTAAATGCTTATAAAAAAAAAACTGTGACTAACGATATTTTTCATCTGTCTTTGAAAAAATATACTAGGAGCCTTTTATTGAATTTTCAAGTTTTTTTAAAAAACAAATAAAATTTTATTGATATTTCTAGAAAAAAAACTAAAAAAAAATGAAAAATGAAAATGTCCCTTAACAGTTCAAAATAAATCAAAATATTTTGCAAATGTTATCGTGTATAGAAAATGCAAATATAAACAACCAGTGAAAACTTCATGTATCTACGGTCAATTGTTTTAAAGTTACACCAAAAACCAAAAATTCCCGTTTTTCCTTAATTTTTCTTTTGTTTTTCTTGGCGCTTTTGAAAAGTTCTGGGAATTTTACATTTTGACCTCCCTAATGCACCAATTATATTCATTTTCCAATCGAACAAGATACTGAAGTTGAAAATCGAAGAGTTAATTCGACTACTTATCGTGTACACAGACACACAAAAAAATAAACAATAGGACAACACATAAAAGAATTCAAATTAAAATGTCCAGAAACTTAAATAGATAACAATATTTAAAGTAATTAGTGCAGTTTATCAATGTTCACATCTTAACAAAAAATTAAACTAGAGTTAAATAACTAAAAAAAAAAATTAGAAATTAAACAATAGGCCCACACAGTAAAGAGGCAAACTATAAAATGTCCAGATTCATAAACAGATAACACAAAACAAAAAAAAAAAAAAAATAGAAGAAATATAACAATAGGACGACACAATAAAGAATTCAAACGAAAATGTCCAGATTCTTAAACAAATAACACAAAACAAAAAAAAAAAAATTAGAAAATAAACAATAGGACCACACATGAAAGAGTTCAAACTAAAATGTCCAGATACTTAAATAGATAACACTATTTAAAATAATTAGTGCAGGTTATCAATGTTCACATTTTAACAAAAAATTTAACTAGAGTTAAATAACTAAAAAAAAAAAATTGAAGGGGGATGTTGGCGCCCGCAAGCAATTAGGTTTTAGAAAACAAAATAAAAAAAAAAATTAGATATTAAACAATAGGACCACACATGAAAGAGTTCAAACTAAAATGTCCAGATACTTAAATAGATAACACTATTTAAAATAATTAGTGCAGGTTATCAATGTTCACATTTTAACAAAAAATTTAACTAGAGTTAAATAACTAAAAAAAAAAAAAATTGAAGGGGGATGTTGGCGCCCGCAGGCAATTAGGTTTTAGAAAAAAAATAAAAAAAAAAAATTAGAAATTAAACAATAGGACCACACATGAAAGAGTTCAAACTAAAATGTCCAGAAACTTAACAGAAAAAAATATTCAAAATGATAAGATCTTTAAAGAAAGATGATTCATAGGGCCAATGCAGGTTATCAACGTTCAAGTGTAAACAAAATATTTAACTAGAGTTAAATAACTAAAAAAAAAAAATTGAAGGGGGGTGTTGGCGCCCGCAGGCAATTGCGTTTTAGAAAACAAAAATAAAAAAAAATTAGAAATTAAACAATAGGACCACACATTAAAGAATTCAAATGAAAATGTCCAGATTCTAAAAAAAAATTGAAGGGGGATGTTGGCGCCCGCAGGCAATTGCGTTTTAGTAAACAAAATAAAAAAAAAATTAGAAATTAAACAATAGGACCACACATGAAAGAGTTCAAACTAAAATGTCCAGAAACTTAACAGAAAAAATTATTCAAAATGATAAGTTCATTAAAGAAAGATGATTCATAATGCCAATGCAGGCTATAAACGTTCAGGTCTAAACAAAATATTTAACTAGAGTTAAATAACTAAAAAAAAAAAATTGAAGGGGGGTGTTGGCGCCCGAAGGCAAATGCGTTTTAGAAAAAAAAAAAAAAAAAAAAAATTAGATATTAAACAATAGGACCACACATGAAAGAGTTCAAACTAAAATGTCCAGATACTTAAATAGATAACACTATTTAAAATAATTAGTGCAGGTTATCAATGTTCACATTTTAACAAAAAATTTAACTAGAGTTAAATAACTAAAAAAAAAAAAATTGAAGGGGGATGTTGGCGCCCGCAGGCAATTAGGTTTTAGAAAAAAAAATAAAAAAAAAATTAGAAATTAAACAATAGGACCACACATGAAAGAGTTCAAACTAAAATGTCCAGAAACTTAACAGAAAAAAATATTCAAAATGATAAGATCTTTAAAGAAAGATGATTCATAGGGCCAATGCAGGTTATCAACGTTCAAGTGTAAACAAAATATTTAACTAGAGTTAAATAACTAAAAAAAAAATTTGAAGGGGGGTGTTGGCGCCCGCAGGCAATTGCGTTTTAGAAAAAAAAATAAAAAAAAAATTAGAAATTAAACAATAGGACCACACATTAAAGAATTCAAATGAAAATGTCCAGATTCTAAAAAAAAATTGAAGGGGGATGTTGGCGCCCGCAGGCAATTGCGTTTTAGTAAACAAAATAAAAAAAAAATTAGAAATTAAACAATAGGACCACACATGAAAGAGTTCAAACTAAAATGTCCAGAAACTTAACAGAAAAAATTATTCAAAATGATAAGTTCATTAAAGAAAGATGATTCATAGGGCCAATGCAGGCTATAAACGGTCAAGTCTAAACAAAATATTTAACTAGAGTTAAATAACTAAAAAAAAAAAATTGAAGGGGGGTGTTGGCGCCCGAAGGCAAATGCGTTTTAGAAAACAAAAAAAAAAAATTAGAAGAAATTAAACAATAGGACCACACATGAAAGAGTTCAAACTAAAATGTCCAGATACTTAAATAGATAACACAATTTAAAATAATTAGTGCAGGTTATCAATGTTCACATTTTATCAAAAAATTTAACTAGAGTTAAATAACTAAAAAAAAAAAAAATTGAAGGGGGATGTTGGCGCCCGCAGGCAATTAGGTTTTAGAAAAAAAAATAAAAAAAAAAAATTAGAAATTAAACA